GCATTTTTAGAAGTGTCCAATAAATTTGGGGTTTTGCTGCAGCACACTTCTTTTACCATCACAGTGCCAAAAGAAGAAAATCAAAAATTGAAACAGCCAGCCTTATTTATTTTTAGTTCCTTTAGACATATTTTCCAGTTTTCTGATTTCTGTATGGGAATAAAATGCTGAATAGAACTGGGAAATGAGTCTGGTGCATGTCTCTTTAATGTCAATGAAGCATCTGACAGTTCCCTAAGCGCATAACAGGCCAATGTCCAGTCAGACATTAGCAACGGTAACTAGGCGAGAGACCTGTTAGCACATGGGAGAAGTTTGCCTCCAGGATTTTCTGCCAGGCAGGCTTTATAAGACATGGCTGACATTGTTAAAAGAGCACAGTTAAACCCAAACTATGATCTGATTCAGTCATATTTGTATATATATGATTGTACAATCACTACAGCCACCTGTGCCAGAATCCACCTGTCAGAAAAAGCAACGGTGTCCTGAATCATCAAGTTATTAAAAAAAATACCACCCATGTAGTTGTCATGGAAGGGGTAATTAGCTCTATCTGAACCAGATTGCAAACATGTTTAGTTCTTCTAAGCATTTTAATATAGGAGTCTGAGAAGCAGGGGTGCCTCCAGAATTTTTCATAGGGGTGGCCATATGGGGGTTACTAAAAATATTCTGTTGGCACACCAAAAACAGAATTTCCAGTTTCATTATGCTGTGGTCAAATAAAGGTTGTTTGGTACATACAAAAATCAAATAGCATTTTGAAATCCATAATAATGTGTTTTGAATAACACATGAATGTAGATTCAGGGGAGGAAATATGAAGCCAATGCAGTAGTGTGTTAAACCTGTCTTCTAGCTTAAGACCACTAGATGGCGATATCTGTGGTTGCAGAAGGCATCAGAAGTGTTTTAGAAACGAGTTTTCCGACATGATGTCTGTAAACACTTTCCTCCTGATTTCTTTGGCTCAGCCTCTCATTTCAGGTGATACTGAATAAATATTTTGGCCAATTTTGTAAAGCTCGGTTTCAAAGTGGATTATTAGTCATATACAGATTGGCTATTTCTTTGATCCCAGTTGAACATTCCTGGTGATGCTCTTTACTTCAATGGAGTCAAGTGAAAATATTCATCTTGATGCTTCAGAACAGTTTGGAAACCAATGGTGATGATATTGCCTCAATCAAACCTTCAGGAAAATTCTCTGCATTACAGGACTGCATTTCTTTTAAGCTATATAAAATCACCTTGAAGTAGTAAAAAATGAATTTTTGTCAACTGCACTAAATAGACATGATGTCTCTCATGAAACCTGACCTCTACTGGCTGAGCATGTAGACAGTAAAAATAATGGATGATGCTACCAGAAACGAGTGTTTTTCATTATTGCCATCTTGGTGTTTTGGGTACCTCTGAAACTGCATGTTCATAAAAGCTGACCAGGGCTATTTTCTGAACCTTAGAATAACCAAAATTTATCAAAAATGACTTAATGTATTTATTTTTAAATATCACCTAAGCTTCACTGCTCTGCAAACTTAGTAGAGGAGTTTTATATCACACGTTAATGTAAAAAGATTATCTTTTATATAACAAACCACAAGGAAAATTCATCATTTATTCATCATCAAACACCATATTTGAGTACGTTGAAAACTTTATGGGGGGCTTTAAATAAAAGAAGTGTTTTGTGGTTATGATGTCAATTTGGAATTTAACAATTTTACATACAACTTTTGAAAACCAAACTTCAACGTTGATTATTTTATCAATAATATTTCTTTAGGAACAAAATAAAAATTGTCCATTCATCTACTTGCCAACTGTGTGGAAAGACCATGCATGACTTTGTGTATTATAGACCTGGCATGTCATATCTTACCTGTCTTAAGAGACGTTTGCACAGAAGTTTGTGTCTTGGTTCTTTGAGTGGAAATGACAATGGTGTCATGATGAAGCTATTGAACCAGGCAAAATCACAATTTGTAGCTTGCTCTTTACTTGGCAAGGTTGTCAATTGTTTAGTGTGGGGATTATCTCTCCTTATTTAGTCTTGGTGAATGTTCTACTAAATGCAATAAGGGACTTTGGGAGCGTAATCAAGAGCTGCTTGAAACCGGGCATATTTAACACCCATGAAAGATTGGTGACGACTGATGGTGGAGCTGTATACAAGGTGACCTCTTGTTGCCCCAGAAGAGGGACACTGTTAATTTGCAACATGCCTGTGGACAAAGGCGTCCCCTGTGGCTCAGTGTCTTGCACTCACACTCCAGCTGAATGTCAGACCTACATCCAATTAACAGCAGTGACTCTTTTAGAAGGAGCTAACACAGTGAGAGACGATAAGAGGGCTTTTTTCTTGCTCACATTTTGCTCTCGGGCTAAATTCTTACCATCTACGACAGCCCGGCTGGTCTTGTCACCTGATGAATCTGCATGTCTGTGTCAACAAGGCAAAATGGGCCATGCCAAAAAGGGAGTTTGAAGTAGTTTGGCGCATGTTCATACACCTGCCTGTGGACACAGGTTGTCAATGCTGTAATCATGTAAATTATAGTCGGGAACATTTATATGTGTGTAGATGGGATTATAATGGAGGTCATGTACACAGATGGGGGGGGCAGTGGCCCCATGGCTCCTTGCAATTTATGCACTTAAACATTATGTTTTTCCTTATGATCCGTCACATACACTCATGTGGAAAACTGAATATATATAATCCCTTCTAAGTAAACACTGCTTTCAATAGAATGAAGAGGGTAAGTAGAAGCTAGGTGCTGCTAATCAGATGCACTTTATTAATTGGTCATCAGCAAGTGAGACCAACTACATGCAAGTAGAAGTTTTAGCAGTTTGATATTCCTCCACAATGGGAACTCGTACTTTAAGTCATGTGTACTTGTGTACTTTTCAAATGTTGCATGCTGATATTAAACACGATTAAAGTTTCTCAATTTACCCTCAGCATATATGCAATTAATGACTGTGAACCAAGAGCTCCGTTTTCTCCCATCTGTGTGATTTCTACGAGAGTGGATATCCCTAATATGGTCATCACAGGCACACAGATCTAGCTGGGAGAATTGAAGCCCCTCCCACCTGCTGTTCAAACCTTCTGTTTCTGATGGGCAAAGAAAGATGTTGGCTTAAAGGAAGGTTGGAAAGAGCTAAAACGGTTTGTTTCACACAGATTCAAGTGAGGGGCTGCACCAGCCCCAGCATAATATTAACCTACTTCAAAAGAGTTCAAGAACAAAAATATGGAGCTGGAAACGAATACAATAGGTGACCTATTTTTTTTATCATTATTTTTTAAGCCTCGATCATGGATGTGACCATAGAACTGGCACTGAGACTGGTCCCATCACAACATATTTTCTTATGGGTGCACTCTAGAACTATTAATAATTGTTTCGTTGATGGTGTTTTAAGATGGGAAAATAATTAACACTGCTACCTGTTACAATCTGAAAAGGTCTGCATGTAAAAAGAACATGTTTTTATTTATTTTTTTAATGCACAGAGTTGAAGCAGCACTTCACTGACAGCTTGAAGAGAACATCATTAACTGCACATGTTTTTTTTTCTTGGATATTTCTATTGCATCACATTGCAAGGCATTCCTGGTATTTTGTCCACCCTCTTTACATCCCTATCTGTTGTTATACATTCAGACATTATAAAAACAACAGATCTATATATGCTGTTAGCCAGAACACAGTGGCCGATTTACTTTGCACACAACAAAAATCTCGAAAGGCCTGACAGTACAGTGCCTTATGTGATAACAAGAAAACTACTTCTCCAGTTAGTTTGAAACCAGGGTTCATTGTGAGAATGGATGGAAATTTTTGACACAGTGGGAGACCACTGCCCTTAGGTACACGAGTCAGTCACACGGATGTCTGGAACTGTCTTAATCATCAAACAGCTTGGCTGCAGTTTGCAGATTTCCTGTTGTGACTGGCTCCACTTTGAGGTCTTTAACTTGTACATTAGTATTAACTAACTGACCTCATGCAGGGTTATCTCCGCTTTATTGATTAAGTAGCTGTACAGAGTATTCAAATCTACTCAGTTTGGGATAATTACAGGTATTCTGCCCATGTTATGTCCTAAAAAGAGAGGAGGCTGGATTCTGAATGGATCTCAAATCACTGTATTACATAAGTGTAGCTTGAATGGAAAAACTTTAATGATAACCAAAATGCCCTTTTCATCCACGCCCGTGTTGATCTCCTGTTTATTTCAGTTCTATTCATGTAGTGCCATTTACAACAAAATCATCAGCTCAAGGCAAAATTTCTGTTTCAAAATGGTTTAATGGTTTCTTTGGTGTAGTATGAAAGTCCATAGCTAACATGTTTGTCAGTGAAAAAGCTGTCAAACTGACATTTATCTCGACCTTTGGCTCAGGTATAATTAACAGTTGGGATGTGATCCATTCTTTCATTGTCCAGTGCAAAATCTATGCCCTCCTTGTATGCAGATTTTCATTTTGCAAAACCACCCAGTGGGCTTTGTTTGCTGGGTATGTTAGATATCCATGCCCTGTGGTATTATACTTACTACCGATGCCAATATTTTTTTTTCAGGGCAGGAAAAAGGTTGCATCATATTTTACTTGCACTGATGCTTTTGCATTAGCTTCCCATACACAGTCATCTTCCTGTCTTAGATGCTTTGCCTCCATACACATGACTTCATTTAACAACCTTCACCTCAGTCTCTCGAGGCTGCTTATTTAATCGTTCTGAAATCGCTCAAGTTATTTTAAGAGCTTTGAGTTCAGAGGGCCAACCATTGAACTGTATGAGATCAGTCTGTTTTTTTCTGACTAATTTTACTGGCCGGGTTAATGATCACTCATGTTATTACTGATGTGTGAAAACATTTAACTGCAATGGAGCTCTGCCTGTGTGTATCCATATCTATGTGAGTGATGGATGTTTGACTGAAATGGACTTTCTGAAATACAAATTAGACGGACGTCAAGGGAAAAAAACACAAACTTTATTATCATCTTTTTACAAAACATTTCAGAATCAACCCCAACAAATAATAGATCCAATACTGACCTTCATGGTGCAAATGATCAACTTTAAACATGATCTGACACATTTCCTCAAACAGCACCAAACTACGTACATCATATATTACCTCAGTGCTAACCTTTAACTTTTTGCTGCTCTAGCACAGAAAAAAAGGTGTTGACTCGGTTTATCAACAAAAGCAACAAAACAATAGGTGGACGACATACAGAGCATTTTAGGGTGAAGAGAACATGAATGATGCCATGAGCATAAATGAGAAAAGTATGGCAATCAAAAAGGCAACTGAGTTGTTTGCAAAGTTGTAAGGGGCTGCATCTTGGTTGACCTCTGTGCACACAACCAGCAGATACCCTGAACCTACAAGCACAACCATTATTGTGCAACATGAAAAAATAAACACATTAATGGCTAGATTATAGAGAAGTGGAATAGGTGGTTAGCCTCCGTGTGCCACATAAACTGTTCACATTAGCTTCTTTTGTTTTGTTGAACATTTGAGGCAGATGGTTGCCATGTAATATTTTAGACATTGTGTGGTCTGTAACATCTGCTGCATTGGTCTTTTTAGTGCTAGTGCAAAATATTTCTGCAAGTCTTTTTTGACAACAGGCAGCTATATACCTGATATCAAAATCTCATAGTAATGTGAACAATTTTTACCCACTCTGCTCAAGTAATTACAGTTAGAACAGTTTTACATGAACACAATGTTTAAAACGCATCAGCCTTCAATCAGTGAGTGCTCCATTTGTTCATCTGAATGCAGCCAGATGAGTGATAATGTACAATGTAGAGAGATACATTCACAATGTAAGTGTGTAAAGATGTGAAATGTAACAAAACAATATCACTGACTCTATACTCAAAAGTAATAACCCATATATAATCCATTCTATCCAAATACTCAGGACCTGGGCCAAATTTGTAATGGCCCGACCAATAGTTCATATAAGATTTATGCATACATGTATGAACACTTTGTAAGTAAATTGTGTAATTATTGTAATATAGTCAGAATTTTTGAAAGAGTGGGATTGAGAAAAAAATGTAATAGTTGCACGTCCTATCTTTTTCAGCATTTCTTGCCTATATCTACCTCAGCTATCAAAAAAGGTAAAAATATCCCCCCAAAACAATCTTCAGTCACATGACACATGAAGGTATCCCCTAGTTTTGATCTTATAGCCTACACAAGCTGAAACAAGCGCTGCACTTGCTAAATAAATTTTTTTCTTGCAGAAAATACAGGAACATTTAGGCTTACATTTTTTATTTACCATAATGAAAAATAATTTCAGCATGTAATATTGTATGTATCTAGTGTAATAATATGGTAATTATTTAATACATCATTTGAAACAGACTTCATTTGAGGGTGACCTTCTTAACCTTGTAACGTTCAAAAACGTTTGCTAAATAATTGTTTACATCATTTAGCTTTGATGCACCTGATTGAAAATATACCCGTGTAATTACTATAGCCCAGTGTGACATGAAATTATTAGTTAAAAACACATATTTGAAGTACATTCAGCTTCAGATTGAGCAACAGGGCCAAAAGTTGTGTGTCCATTTAGAGATAATGGTACATGTTCACAGGATCTTTCATTTCTGGTAGCATCAATATTCCCGTTGATGCTACCAGACCTTGGATTCTCAAACCTTTTGGGCCAGGTCCTCTTCATCATCCTAACAACAATTAAGCATATCTTTATTACCACCAGGGATCATGTATGCAGCTGAAAGTATTTCTATTCTGAAAAATATTTTAGCCTGATGTGCTGTGATGTGTCATACCAGTCAAAAGATATTGTAGGTGGGAGTAATGGAAACACTGTAGACATTTTGTTGGAGTAATTTGGACCCAATGTGTAGGGATGCACTTATACATATAACGCCACAGTGGCATGACTCATCAGCCCTGGAAACTCATGCCAGAATTCATAATCATTGTCAAATAATAATTGCTGATGACTGCCCCTCCATAAGTTTGGATCTGAGGTTTCCTCCTTTCAAAAAGGGAGTTTTTCCTCCCCACCAGCGCTAAGTGCTTGCTTATAGCAATTTTTCAGATTGTTGTGGCTATTTTCTACTATCCTGTGTTTACCTTTCAACAGAAAGAACTGGTGCGAAACTAAATATATGATATACTTGGCTTATTTCTTGGGTCCCACTGTTTCTATAATGTTGGTCAAATTAAGCAAGCTGGCATATGGGTCATAATTAAAATCCAGTAGGAGATTGTCAGATGTTCATATGGACACTGACACTACCTAGTGGCAAGTTCTGAGTGCAGCTGCTTACTTCCAGAAACGCCCCTGTGAACACATACCATAAAATCAGTACAGTCACCCACAGTACTCTCTGTATTAGATGGCAGCTGCAGAGAGTTATACATACGTGTATGTAAGCACGGCTATCAACTGAATCATGTGTAAATACTTAAATTGAAAAATATGCTTTCAGTGTTTTCAATATCCCAACGTTTCATGCATGCTTACCAGTAATACTCTACACTTTCTGTTTCTAAAATGGCTTGCTTCCTACCACTTTGTAACAAGTGTCTTCAAGGACACTACCCATGAGCTTTTCAGCTCTTGTGATTTACAATGAAATCTTTACATGAGCTACATGTGAGCGCAAATATACACTAGAGAATTCTGAAATCGCTCCATATGGCCCATGCTGCTTGTACACAGTAGCTATGACATGACGACATGAATAATGTAAATATGGTGGTGGAGTATAGGTGAATAAAAAGGGCTTTATTCATCGCATGCATTTGAATTTCACTTGTTGCTCCAGTCATTTTCTTGATATATTTTCATTTTTCTATCCCAGCTTTCTGTCAGGTCTCACGAGAAACTCAGAAAGGCTAATATTTATGCATTAGCACGGTTTCCTTTTTTTTTTTTTTTTTTTTTTTTGTTCTGGCTCACACCCTCGGTCATTTCAGACTGGAGTCAGAGTGATACACCCATCCCTTTCACTCTTCCATTTCCGTTTGGTTCCACCTGTTTGATTTGAAAATGAATGTGAAATGTAGTCTGGTTTGTGCGTCATGCAGATCATTCTATAGTGTACATACAATGCTAGGACGAACAGGCAAATGTCTACAGGCACAAAGTAGAGCACTAATTTCATCAATCATGAAATCAGTGTGAAATGATTTGGAATAAAGTAAATGATATAGCTGCTGAACTTTTATGTTGATTAATGTATTGTCCCAGCTAGCAGTCTAAAAAATGGGTCAGTGTAAAAGGATGTGGGGCTGGAGGAGGGACAACCTCATTGTAAATTGTTAAACCAATACTTAGGTTTACTTTGTGTTTACTTTCAGGTGCCTGCATTACAAAAGAACGAGTATGGTGATGTCTTATAAAACGCGAAATACAACACAGTGATGTAGTGCATGAGATGGCATGGAAGATGCTAGAGTGGAGTAAAACCTTTCAAAAACGTAAAACGAGGTGTGAGGAGTCCTAGCAACAGTGCAGATACACATGTTTACACTATATACTATAAATAATCAAAGTTAAAGTCACTTAAAAAATACCAAACACAGAGAAACCAATAAATTAGGTACAATGCCATTCATTCGCTCAAGGGTCATGTGATGCACTGAGGAAAGATGGGTTGAAACTAGAGTGTGCCCATTCCAGTGACTTCAGACGTCAGCCTAAAACAGTACAGGGAAGAAGGGGGAGGAGGGGGGAGGGGGGGCGGGGGTAGACAGAAAATAAAACAACTGTGAAAGAAGAACTTTCGCTTGGCAGTGAAAGTTATGCTGCAATGGTTGCCTTTGTGCTTGAATTTTCTTGCTTGGTGCATTTTCTTCACAGAGACTTGACACCATATTCTCATTGCACCCATTCACATAAAACAGATGTGGATACATAACCATGCAGTACTAAAGCCTCTCATGAAGCCATGCAGTGGACTAAAAAAACAAAAACACACAAAAAAACATAAAAACATTAAAAGAAAAACGGTGTTATGAAATAGTGAGTTGCATTACAGAGGCATCACATCACTCTTCTTACTAACAGCATTGCTCAGTAGCACTCACGTTTCCTGCCTTTTTTTTTACTTTATTTTTTTATTTTCCCTTTTTTTTTTTAAATATTATTTTTACTCCTTGTAGACAATGACACAAGAGGACTTTATAGGCAAATTTATATAACGATACCAAAAAGAAACACGATATTCTTGAAATGAGGCATGCTAAATAAATAGTTGAAGAAGCTGTTTGCTTGTTTTTTGGGGACAATATGCTTATTCGCTGCATTGCAGGAAGTAAAAGGAGAAGATCAATGGTATTCTGATGTGGGTTCTTTAAATGTGAAGCTGGAGGAAGGGAGGACAGGTGAACACAAGTTACCTGGCTCTGCTGGAAGCTAACATAATCTACCTATTTAGACATGTAAAGTAAAGCTTCTTTGTAATTATCAAACTGTGCATTACTCTTTTTTTCATCTTTGGTCTGAAGAGAAGTGGGGATTTGATTTCCCTGTAACCAATCACCAGAGACCAAAGTATCCATCTGAATCAAATGTTGCTTTAAGCTTGATACCAAGCGTCGACCTCCAGAGTTTCAATATGAAGTCTACTTTGAAGTGACAAAAAATGATGAAAAAAACAACCTCAGGCTCGCTCTAAAAGCTGGATTTCTAACTCCAAAACTCAGTTTCCATAGACTCAGATGTTGAAATGCTCAAATCTAGAGCATGTAAACATGTTTACAGCTTGACACAAAACAATTTTCTCCCTCCTGAACCCCTGTATAGGAGGGTTATATACTCAATTTAAACTGCATTTGGCCATAATTCATGCAGTGTAGTGGCACGACTGTTCTGACCAAGGTACAAAGTAACAGTGCTCAACTCCAAATTTTTAAAGAATAAAGTATCCAGTCTCAGCCTTTAAATAACTGTCCACTGTAGTGACCACTATGCGTGAAAGGGCTGTTTTCTTGTATTTGTGTCAGTGTTGATGGTATACTTGCACATAAACCACTACATTGGACACTGATGTGTGACTCCATACCCTGCCACCCACACCAAAGGTGATGTTGTCCACCTAAGTGGACATGTAAGAAAAATCTTTGAAAAGTACATGTTATTGTTACCAATGGTATTCCATATTATATATTCTGTATTTATATATGTGTATATATGTATATATGGTATATTTATGCTTTTATCCTTACTCTCATTCCCCTTTATTGTATCTGTAACATGCAACTTCTGTCGGTGCTCTGCTACTGGAAACTGAATTTCCCAGAAGAACCCACCCGAGGGATTAATAAAGTTTCATCTCATCTCATCTAATCTCAAAAAAAAGAAATTTAAAAATCTTTTTTCATGCCTAAAGATGAATAAAAATACTTGAGAAAAAAATCCTGATTAAGGTTGTCATAATTCATGCGTGAAAAGGTTAAAGAAATTAAAAAAGAGAAGAGAGAGAAAGTAAAAGTATTCTCTCATTAATATATATTTATTTCACAACATTGTCAGTGTAATTTAGGATAAAAAACTGTGACAATATATAAGCAAGGCGAGGTCCAAATGCCGATGGAACTGACTGATCTGATAAGATGGATGGAGGTGGTACAAGTGGTGGTTCAAGTCGCCGAAATGGACTTCTCATCCATGTTGGTTTTTGGTTCCTTTTGAAGGATTTTTAATGCAGATACCTCATGTGTGTTTAGACATGTTTGATTGTACTAATAGACCATCGAAAGAAGTTGACTCCAAATATTAGTTTTTGAAATTCAACAAAAGAAATCTTTGTTTGTTGCTTAGCACTAATTATCACTAGTATCTGTGTTTCTGGGTTTTACCTGTAAAGTCTAGGGAAAAATCCACGACAACAGCTTGCCATTAATAGCCTTGATTAGCTAATGAGTCACTCGCTTTTAGATGTGTTTCTGGGTGGATTTGTTTCCTTTACGTAACAGCTGCTTCCCATTTAAGACACAGAAATTGTAATTAATTTTCTTGTCAACATTTCTGCAAAAAACAGTGAATAAGCATATTTTCCAAAGTAAAAACTATTTTTTTAATCTATACACTGGCTACATCGATTGTTAAACAGACCCCGGTGTCAATACAGGCCTCTTACAGGCTAGAGCTGAAGTTATATGCACAACTAGCAAAGCAAAAGTCCCACAGGATAACACATAGAGGTTTATCGTGAAGTTGTGGTTTTGATGTTAGCTTCTGAAAACAGAACCAGATTTGTGGCGACTTCAGGATGTTGTCATGGATGAAGGGTCATTCCACATGGCGGCCACGTCCCTGAACCTGCCATTGGAATTGCGGGAAAGCAGTAGCCATTAGTTTCTTTGTGGGCTGTTCTCTAAAATCCCCTTTAGAAGTCAGAAACAAAAAATCGCTTTGTGTTGAGCATGTGGGTTCCCCTGCACTAATGCTGATAACATATGACTTTGAGGTGCAGGTAGCCTGTGGACATCAGTGCTGTTCTGTTTTCTCAGAGCTGCGGATTTTACATTTATTTTCACTGGTGATAATGAATTAGGTTTCGCTGGATAGAGGAGAAACAGGGGTAGTGGAGCATGCCAAGAAAACTTAAAAACTGTTTCACACTATCTACTGGTATGTATACTATCTTACTACACAGCCACTGCTCTTTAGTCCTGCATGGGATTTAGATGTAACTGTCTTGGAGTCATTTTCTTTTTATTTAATTACACTGACAGCTTATGTGCAAAAACACAGTCTTACAGCAGTTATATCTCTAAATTAAGCTCGCAGAGATTGTATACCTTCTTGTGTCGGCCAACTTTGTGAACTGAAGTAAGCATTGAACATTTGATGATTCATTTATTGATCATCCAATTTACTAATCTGCAGATTCTGTTCAAAGGCACAGCTTACTCGTTCCAGTAGTTGGCCTTGCTCCCATGAGACACTTACTTGCAAAGAGTGTTCTCCCAGAAACTTACTGCATTTTAATGTCTACACTTGGTTGGATGTAAAGAACAAAAGTCAAAAGGAACAAACAAAGGGAAATAGGGTGGGGGGGGACCCAGCATGGCTCACATTATTCATGGGCTTATCTGTTGCTTGTGTAAATCTGACAGATTTTTTTCTCTGCATTTTCTAGAGTCTCATCAAAGTCTCAGTGTCAAAAGTAAACTTGTCAGCGACCTCCTTTTATTCCAAAAAGCCCAATCAGAGAGAGAAGCTTTCTTGGATCTTCACTATGAGCATGCTCATTCAGATGTTACTTTTATCTTTAATGTTGTGCTTGAGCCCAGCAGAGTTGAAAGGTTACCTGGCATTGATGAGATACTGGGCCAGGCTGATGTTAGCGGGGGTCCCTGTGATGGTAATCTGACGCTCTGATGAGCCCTCCATGGCATTTGCAATTTTGATCTGCGCCCCAGACATCTGTCGAATCTCATTTATTTTGGTGCCCTGGCGTCCAATAATGCACCCTATTAACTGTGGGGAAAAAGCAAAAGTCTGAATCTGAACAAGGCTTCACGTCTGGTAATGACAATCATTTCTTCTTTATAACACTTACATTTTTAAAAAGATGGCATCTCAGTGCAATCATTATTTCTATATATTTACAAATAGACAGTAATCCTTTCTATTAAATTTACATAAAATAGTTAGATCAATTTATCTCTCCGGCTTATAAAAAATCCCCTACATAATATATTTAAACATATATATTATTATTTAAAAAAAGTTTCCATAGGTTTGAAAAGTTACATCTGAACAAACCACAAGACTTTTGGAACAGTTTCATTAGAACAGATGAGACCAAATTGGAGATTTTTGAAATTTCATCTGGCGGAAACAGCAATACATGACTGTATTCTTGAAATTGATGTCTCGTGAAACCTTTCCAGCATTACTTACATCATTAGGAATGGTGAGTTCATGGGTGCTGGCTGGTGGACTGGCATCCAAACCTGCACCGCGGACATTATAAGAAAAGACATTGCAATTTCAATACTTTAGCAGAGTTCATCTCTAAAAGGAACTTTTTCTTTTTTTTTATCAAAGGTAGCACATCCACCTAGCAGCAGGTCAGCTGAGTTAAAATAAACTACCCTGTTTTTTCTGGCTTTATATTAATCAAGGCACTACGAGTAATGCCTAGTAAAGTGCAGCCACTAGAATTTTTTTTTAGCTGCTGTTGATTATTTAATTTATATTTATTAAGTGAAAGAAATTAAAAACATATTTCCCAAATTACACAGCAAAATCTTACAGTGGGGCAAAAAAGTATTTAGTCAGCCACCGATTGTGCAAGTTCCCCCACTTAAAATGATGACAGAGGTCAGTAATTTGCACCAGAGGTACACTTCAACTGTGAGAGACAGAATGTGAAAAAAAAATCCATGAATTCACATGGTAGGATTTGTAAAGAATTTATTCGTAAATTAGGGTGGAAAATAAGTATTTGGTCAATAACAAAAATACAACTCAATACTTTGTAACATAACCTTTGTTGGCAATAACAGAGGTCAAACGTTTACTATAGGTCTTTACCAGGTTTGCACACACAGTAGCTGGTATTTTGGCCCATTCCTCCATGCAGATCTTCTCGAGAGCAGTGATGCTTTGGGGCTGTCGCCGAGCAACACGGACTTTCAACTCCCGCCACAGATTTTCTATGGGGTTGAGGTCTGGAGACTGGCTAGGCCACTCCAGGACTTTCAAATGCTTCTTACGGAGCCACTCCTTTGTTGCCCGGGCGGTGTGTTTTGGATCATTGTCGTGTTGGAAGACCCAGCCTCGTTTCATCTTCAAAGTTCTCACTGATGGAAGGAGGTTTTGGCTCAAAATCTCACGATACATGGCCCCATTCATTCTGTCCTTAACACGGATCAGTCGTCCTGTCCCCTTGGCAGAAAAACAGCCCCATAGCATGATGTTTCCACCCCCATGCTTCACAGTAGGTATGGTGTTCTTGGGATGCAACTCAGTATTCTTCTTCCTCCAAACACGATGAGTTGAGTTTATACCAAAAAGTTCTACTTTGGTTTCATCTGACCACATGACATTCTCCCAATCCTCTGCTGTATCATCCATGTGCTCTCTGGCAAACTTCAGACGGGCCTGGACATGCACTGGCTTCAGCAGCGGAACACGTCTGGCACTGCGGGATTTGATTCCCTGCCGTTGTAGTGTGTTACTGATGGTGACCTTTGTTACTTTGGTCCCAGCTCTCTGCAGGTCATTCACCAGGTCCCCCCGTGTGGTTCTGGGATCTTTGCTCACCGTTCTCATGATCATTTTGACCCCACGGGATGAGATCTTGCGTGGAGCCCCAGATCGAGGGAGATTATCAGTGGTCTTGTATGTCTTCCATTTTCTGATGATTGCTCCCACAGTTGATTTTTCCACACCAAGCTGCTTGCCTATTGTAGATTCACTCTTCCCAGTCTGGTGCAGGTCTACAATACTTTTCCTGGTGTCCTTCGAAAGCTCTTTGGTCTTGGCCATGGCGGAGTTTGGAGTGTGACTGTTTGAGGCTGTGGACAGGTGTCTTTTATACAGATGAGTTCAAACAGGTGCCATTCATACAGGTAACGAGTGGGGGACAGAAAAGCGTCTTACAGAAGACGTTACAGGTCTGTGAGAGCCAGAGATTTTCCATGTTTGAGGTGACCAAATACTTATTTTCCACCCTGATTTACGAATAAATTCTTTACAAATCCTACCATGTGGATTCATGGATTTTTTTTTCACATTCTGTCTCTCACAGTTGAAGTGTACCTCTGGTGCAAATTACTGACCTATGTCATCATTTTAAGTGGGGGAACTTGCACAATCGGTGGCTGACTAAATACTTTTTTGCCCCACTGTAAATTAAATTTCCTGCTTGGAGAGAAAAGGAAACACATTCAGAAGGGGGATCATGAACTTTGTTTAATCAGTTACTCATTCCATGTACAGCTATGCAGACAGGCACAGTAAGGGTTAAAAAAAGAAAAAGAGAGAGAACGCTGTGTGGCTGCTCAGGTAACAAAATTAAAAGATATACAGCTGCCATGAAATGAAATCTAACAACCACCATGGGATAGATGACCCTACGTAAAACACACGAGGAATCAGTAGAAGTGTGAATCGAATGCACCTATAAGTCAAACAGCATATAATGGAAATCAGGTTATAGCTGCTTATTTACTAATGCTGTTCCGGTATATCAGCCGTGTAATTGGTTTCTTACATCATTGTTTTGTTATTTACAGTCTGACTAGCTTGACTCCTTTGCTCTCTGTTTCACCCATTAGGTTTATTTCACTTTTTGAGGTTAGACGATGAGGGGAGACAACGTTATTTGAGTTGTCAAAAAATCCAGAACTTGATATGTGGATATAAATGGAATAAAAGTAGCATGGTGGCTTAAATGTGATTAATCATAACTCCAAACCTTTGTGAAACCCTTCACCGTAACTTGACATGCATCTCACAAGAAATGCAACGTTGACTCAACACAATGAATGTGATTAGCCCATTCAGTACTGTTGATTCACGGTACTGTCCACGTCTTCTTTCGCCGCTAGGTCAAAGAGAGAAACTCCACCACCAACTAGTGTTTTGGTGTTGAAACTGCAACAAACCAGCACATGGCCTTTTTGCGTGGCGCCTGCATGCTCTCCCTGTGCTTTGGGTCACCAGGCCTCATAAAATATCCTGATATTCTGTTTTATCTCAGCCCAGCATACTTGTCTCACAAGTTACACTCAATTTCAAGAGTTTTGCCGTCCTGTTTATTTATTTTCCCAACAAGTTAGAATTTGAAAAAATAAAATAAAATATGGAAGAAAGGAAAAGCCAAACCAATAACCTACAACCTTGCTAGACTGAAATATGCATTCCACAGAGGTGAACTACAGATGTTTCTTATCCACCCGGACTACTCCCGAAAGCCTTGAATCCACATAAATCTCATAGGTGACCTTTTTTGATCTCAAAATGCTAAGTTTGCATTTCTGCATTCATTATAGCTAAGGCTTTTGGATAAAAACGTACTCACGAGACCTTCATTTGATCAACTGCACAGATGCAGAGGTTGCGATGCACATAGGCTAATATAAACACCAAGAGCTATAAAAGAGCTAGAGGCACAATTATTATTGTAGAATCGGGCCTGTGGCATTAGAGTCTCCCTCCTTAATGGAAAGTCAACAGCATAAACAATTTGCCCTGTTTCCAAGAGATAATGCAGTTTGGAATACATCATTTTAAAGTGAAGCCCGAAGGCATTTTTTTACCTTTCAGTGGCAAAATATCAGACATATCCAAGAAAAAAAAACCCATATATGGACAAATCAAAGAAAGATAGAAACTACAGGGGCCAAGACATGCTGTGCCAAAATAGAGATAGGGTGCAAGGTAGGGAAAGAGAAAAATGTTTCTCTGGATGCAAAGAGAAGGAAGTATCTATCGGGCCTCGTGGGTACGTACCAGGGAAAGCAGGGGTGGTCTGTCCGAGAGGGGTAAAGGGGGTTTGCTGCATAGCCAACTGGTGGAGCTTGGTCAACTGCTGAAGGGTTAGGAGGGAAAGTAGAACTAAGAGGTTACTGTTACACAGGTCACACCAAGAAATGAAGCCAACCAAAACTAGAGTGAAGAAACGGTGAGGAAAAGGAGGCCATGGCACGGGGTGGTGGAGGATAAAAAGTAAGAGAAAAAGAGATACAGAGAGAGGATGATTGTCTGTCGTGGAGATGGACTCTATTAGATAATTTGATATTTTCCTTTCTGTTCTGCCTGTTTCTTTATCATTTTAGCATAGTGATTTTGAAAATGTGGACCCACTGGTGAGCACATTAACATTAACTGCAGGAAATAATTTTTATTGCCCTCTTAATTACCACGTCTTTCTAAATGGCAGTTTTGACTCACACTCAGAGAACCCATATGACTGCAAGAGCACCTGCTCTCCCAGCCAGTATGGTCACAGGATGTCCATCCGCTGCTGTATATCATTTCCGTCAGGAATAAGGGAAGGCCGATACTTTAAAGGCTTCCTCTCCTTTTAAGAGGAGTTTTAATGAGGGAGGAAGAGGGTGTCAGGCCCGTACTTGAGTGATTGTACCGTCAACCACCACCTCCACTGGCATCAATCATTGCCCAACTTTGAATTAGTGGATCTGACACAAGGTAGCTCTTGAGATGCTCTTACGACAAGGACAGATGAAGGCAGATTATTAATGGAGACTATATGGTCCACTGGAATTAAAGAGCTGTCTACATCAAAACTGCCATTACTGTCATTTCCTTGATCGTTAACACCAGGAGCCACTGGCTTGTTATCGACCAGATCTTTCTGGTAGTTCAGCCACAATAAAACCTTAAACTATAGACAGCCAGTGGTTCTGAAAGTGGAAGGGCTTTATAGCTTATCTCATAAGAGCTGATGTGTGCATCTAATCAAATGTCTGCTCTTTATATACGAAACAACGCAGGTTTGTTTCAAAATTAAATTTTTAAAAAGAGACTAAGAACTTACATCTGGGTGTGGTATGGCGTACTGTCCCTGAATTGTGTAGGCCTGGAAAGGTAAAACATAGAAGAAAAATCAGACTTCAGTATCAGAGGGGGAAAAAATCAAATAAAGAACAAATCAGCTTGTACACTTTCAAACACTTTCAAAAAGCCTTTCAGTCACTTACAAACACTCATCTTGGGCATGAATCACTTTGGGCTTTAATCAATTCTTTGAAGTGTTCTTTTTTCCGGAGTGGAATGATTGTACCGCATACATCTTTAATTACTTTAAAAATACAAGAATTGCGTGCACAAGCTTGAATTTATTGTCGATTTTCCTTCGATCACACAGGGTCAAAAGTTTGTGTACAAGCTTTAATTTATACCTACACTCACTTAAATCTTTTAATAAGTGGTTCTACAATGCCTTTTAACTTGTTAATGAGTTGCTGCCTACAACTCATAGTTTCTTTTTGCCAGAATAAAAATGATTTGATTGACAGGTGAAGGTCTTTTAAAGCCAGTCCTTAAAGACCTACAGATTCCAAGATCAAGGATGTTCCAAGCTGACCAAGCAACAATCCCCTGCTCAAAAACCAACACATTTAAGCTCAATTGAACCCATATGGGTAAGTCAAATACCATCTGGAGAAAAGTTTTATGTTTGGAGGAGTAAAGGTGAGGCTTTCAAATCTATGATGGGATCATGCTCTGGAACAGTTTTTCTACTTTTGGTAGTGGTGCATTCCATAAAGTGGATGAAACAATAAAGGAGGACTACCTTCACCGTAAACGTTACCTCAGTTTAACATTATGTCAGAAACTTGCTCATGGCTTCCAAAAGTGTCTAGCTGATGTGCAACTTCCACTAATATTTAACCAAATATTAGTTAGTGGTGTAGTTATATATTTGACCCAGTGTAAATATTTTTGACCCTGTTTCAAACTTACATTCAATTAAAACGTCATTAAAGTTGTATACTGTGCAATCATTCCACAACGGATGAAAAACAGTTAAAAAAAAAAATCATGAAAAACACAAAATAACCTTGACCTTCATGCCCAGGATGAATATATGTAAACCTCTGACCACAACTGAATATTCCTTTTTCTTATTATGTGTCTATGTACTATATATAATGTATATATTACATATAATACTGATTATAAATTTTGGTATGTGTTTCTAGTGGGGCGAAGTGGGAGTTCGCCTTGTAACCGGAAGGTTGCCGGTTCAAGCCCCGGCTCGGACAGTCTCGGTCGTTGTGTCCTTGGGCAACACACTTCACCTACCGCCTACTGATGTTGGCCAGAAGGGCCAATGGCGCGATATGGCAGCCTCACTTCTGTCAGTCTGCCCCAGGGCAGCTGTGGCTACAACTGTAGCTTGCCTCCACCAGTGTGTGAATGTGTGTGTGAATGGGTGGATGACTGGGTGTGTAAAGCGCTTTGGGGTCCCTAGGCGGGACTAGTAAAAGTGCTATACAAATACAGGCCATTTACCATTTATTTACCATTTAGTGGTAATGACAGTGGTTCACTTAATCTTATGCATCATTAGCAATGACATTAACTAACATTAATTGATGATCCACTTAAGTGTTAGCATATTCAAAGCAGTATCAGAAAAGGCTTATTATATGTAGATGAAGTACAATGACATCCAAGTCTTGGAAGTCCAAAAATACAATAAAATATATCCGATGACTGGCAGAAAATGTTTCATAATGTCCATAAAGCGCATTTGCTGATGGCTGCCAATGCAACTTAGTGCTGCTTTATGACTCCTCATTTTTGGTTCTCCTGTTTCATCTTTAATTCATGGATTCAACTGTATAAACAAAATAGCTGCCTCGGTCTCAGGTGAGTAATCATTCAAATCCCAGTCTAGACTGTGTATGTATATGCTAACGTTAAACATAGCATATTAGTCAACTGAATTACCTTATTTTGGACAGATGTTTTTGCATTTCTGTCTGTGCATGTTTTTTTTGTTTTGTTTTTTCTAAATCAGACCCCTGTAAGTTGTTTTCTAAAGGCTTCAGATGTGGGGTTTTTTTTTTCCATTTAACACCCAGTGATGATGATTATTCCCAGACAAAAGGAAAATTGGAGTCATTACAAGTTCTTATGTGCTCTGTTCCTCCAGCGCATCTCTTGTTTGCTAAGTTTTCAAATTCATTCAACAGCTTTTAGTCCAAATCTGCAATTAACTTATGGATATGGCTGGACAGACATTAGTATGCACCCAGCATTCTTGTTGACATTAATGCCATTGTTACTGATTCACACATTATGGTTCTGCTACCGTCCCTGCTTCCCTCTTTCACTATCCGGTGCACTCAAACAACAATGACTGTCCAGCCAAAATGCACTCACCAGCCACTTTTTTTAGGTACACCTGTTAGGTACACCAGCTGCTTGTTAATACATATATTAAATCGGAAAATTCACATGGCAACAACTCAATGCACTTAGGCATGTAAACATGGTCAAGACCAGTGAATCTGAATGTGGAATGGTTGTTGGTGCCAGGCAGGCTGGTCTGAGTATTTCAGAAACTGCTGATTGGCTAGGGCTTTCCCACAGAACTATCTCTAAGGGTTTCCAGAGTCCAAAAAAGAGAAAGTATCCAGAGAGCAGCAGTTAGATGAGTGAAAATGGATGAGAAAAGACTGGCCAGATTACTTTAAAGTTAACAGTAAAGTCACAGTAGCTTAAATAACTACTTGTAACAACCAAGGTATGGAGAGGATCATCTCTGAATACATAGCATGAACCTTAAAGCAGATGGGTTACAGCAGCAGACAGCGTGCCATTCCTGTCAACTAAAAAACAGGAAGCCGAGGCTACAATTCACATAGATTTATCAAAACTGAACAACATAAGATTGGGAAAACATTGCTGGGCTCAACAAGTCCAGATTTCTGCTTTGACTTTCAGTTGGTGGGGTCAGAATTTGAGATTAGCAAAATGGAAACATGGTTCCATCCTGCACTGTATCAACACTTCTTTTGCTGTTCGTGGTATAATGGTGCGGAGGACATTTCTGGCACACTTTAGGCCCCTTAGTAGCCAGTAAGGCTTGTTTTAATTCTTATTTTTATGTCTATTTAAGCGTTATATGACAGCATGTTTGCACTAAGTACCGCAGCAATTTCCTAATGTTGTAAACCTGCTCAACATTTGGCAATAAAACCCTTTCTGATTCCGATTCTAAACACCCCAGCCTGCTTTCAGCAGGATACCACACCATGTGATAAAACTCAAGCCAACTCAAAATGTTTTCTGAATATGTCAGTGAATTGGCTACGCAATTGACATCCACAGTCCCGATGCAATTGAGCACATGTGGGATGTGATGGAACAGGAGGTTCACATCATAGATGTGTTGGAGAAGAATCTGCAATAATTGATGCTATCGTGTCAATGTCGACCAGAATCTCTGAGGAATGTCTCCAGTAACCTTGTTGAATCCAAGACATTAAATAAGGCAGTTCTGACACCAACAAGTGGTCCAACTGGGTACCAGCTAGGTGCACCTAATCAAACTAATAAAATTGAGCATTTATCATTTGCACAAATGCAAGATCGTTTAAATATAAGTCAGTCAAATATAAGCCACATTCATTTCATGGTAACAGTGCTAGTTCTGACAGAGAGGTTCCTACTGCTACAAAAGCCAAGCAACCAGATAGAAATTACTACAGGAATAAAACTTCTATTTTTACTGAAGCCACTCCCCCAATATAAAACAACTAAAGCTGTAATTTTTGTGACAATCATCCTTGTCAGAACCAATTTCTCTCTTTTCTATGCAAAAGGAACAATGATTAGGTAGTTTCACACAGTAGTAGTTGATCAATATAAAAGTACTTCATTGTGTCTTATGACACAGTAGGTTTAATTACATTTAAGAAGTGCTCTCTCATCTACTGCTTTCCATTTATTCCAGCCTAAAACGTGAAAATTGAACGATTTGTACATCAGTCATTCACCCCAACCACATCCTTACAAGTTTCTAAATGTCATTTAAAAAATACGATACAACCAGCTAATATGCTGCACCTAAATCTGCTAAATAATATAGTTTAGTCTTATATAAAATTTATTTTTAGGCGACAGAGTTGCAGAAATTGCAAGTGTGCGAATAAAAGTTAACAGAAGCTTGCACTAAAGAGGCAGTGATGCTGATGCTGCAGCAAAAGCCTCAAGTTGGCTGTAGGCACAAACTAACAAGCTAAAGCTAGTTCAGCACTTACCTGGCCACCAGAAAAAATGACAGGGGTGGAGGTGGGCTTTGGGCGGTAAGGGATAGTGGCACCTTTTGGTGGGGACTAGGAAAAACAAAAGTCAGAGTTAGTCTAAAGCAAGATAATTGCAAATGTAAGTGCGTCAAACTCACATCTGCACAAGAATTGTTTTACTTTTTTTATACTCAACAATGAACGGAAACTAGTTTAAAGATGAGCAAATTATAAAGCTAAAGATGCCAATTAGCTGAGCAGGATGCTTGCCACAATTTGTTTGAAGGTAACAGAGCATGCTAAGTGAAAATATTAAAATCAGTTCATTATTGTACCAAGGAAATTTTCCCAAAGCCTAGTCCCACATATAGCAAGTAAACTCCATTATTTTAGCAAAAGTGGCTACAAGGTGATGCTAGTTTCTGTTTTGTTACCTCTTTTTAGCTTTTGTTCCCTGTCTTTAGAGTTGTTATGCTAAGATACACTAGCTAAATGGTTGTTATGCTAAGATACACTAGCTAAATATACACATAAAATAGCTTCTTATTTAATGTGTATATTTAATGGTACTGATGTGCTCTTTTTTTTTTTGTTAATAAAACCTAGAAAAGAAAAAACAGAGAGTGAACAGTTCTTTAAAATACTGTAATATTTTTTGACTTGGTGTATCACTGTGTGCAGTGTAATGCATATGAAGCGGGATAGCATCCACCCACTTATCAATTCACATATATAATCATATTTTCCAAAGTGCTTTACTGCAGAAAAGCAGAGGAATTATTCTGAGGCAATAAAGTGTCTTGCTGAGAGAAACGTTATAGTTTTCACAAAGAAAATGTCTTTAGTCTTCATGCACTGCTGTGTAAATGCATCACCTTATTTTTTCTGAGCCATGACGAATGAGAAGGAAGGGGATTTCCAGTTTGCGAACTTACTATAATGACACCAAGTTATTGATTCATGCCGTGCATCAGCAACAAGACTATTCAAGACGGGGGGAAAGGCTTAATCAAATTTCCACTGTAGCTGCTGTGCTGCAGCAGCAGGAGTATCCACTTCAGATACAATATCCAGACAAAGTAATGGTGTTACTCTTTCCGTGACAGTTCAGTTGGATACTAATGCACAAAAATGATCGATAATTACAGATTTCTCCCTCTAAATTGCATCAGAATGATTTAAATTGCAGTCTGTTTTGCTATGCTGCAAACAATTTCTCACTTTCAGCATAATAGAAAATGTACGCATGTAGACCCTTCTTGGCACCTTAATAGCACGAGCCGGATGCCTGTCAAGTTGACATTTATGGACAACAATTGCCAGGTGGTTCTGACCATTCAAAAATCAATTTCTTAGAAAATGTGCTTTACGAGCACAAGCACTAAATATAAATTCTTAAAGAGGCACGCTATAGGTCTAGCCAGAAGTGCAATGCGACGCACACTCTGTCTGTTCAATACATTTCTCTGAGACTGTATAGTAAGTCATATTGGCACTTAAACTAGAGTCGTTTTGCTAAATCTGTACATACTTTACCTCCAGCATAACCACACAGATCTGTCTGACACACTGGATGATGGCTTCTGGGGTCCCAGAGATTGTCACTGCACGTTCTGTGGAGTTGGGCAGCATGTCGCCTGCTACCTGGACCTGGGCCCCTGTGGACTGGAGCAGAGGAAGGGACTCTGAGGGGCTTGATGATGTTGAAAGAAATTCATTTGTAACACATTCAGGCTGTGCTTTGCATTTCTCTCAAGAGTACAGGCACTTACTTTGGCAGGGAAATTAAAATTGAAAGGTACTTCAAGTACTCAAGGTGCAGGCTATATGATAGACTCCGTTTCAGCCTCTATAAGAGCACCATGGCAATTTGGATGTTTAGTTTGTCCTTTACTATTTCCTTCAATTGCCACATATCCACCTGGGGTCAAAACATGTTGCCTTCATGGCTGTATTTTGTCTCCACGTCTTCTTTTTTTCAGCTTCCATCAAAAAGACAATAATGATGCATCCTCCCACACTTCACCCACTCACTCATTCAGCCACTGTGTAGTGTCTGCTACATCACTGGGAAACAAGCATAGACTACAGCTGACGCATTTCGGAGACTTTTTGGATGCACTGCTCCACCATTAGTGTCCACCAGCTATTCATAATTATCTCTAATTGCACCACTTTTAAAACCACTGCCAAAAAAGTTGCTATTTTTGGATAATTGGATGTTAAAATTTACATCTCTCTCCACAAATTATTTCTAACACAAATCTGTACAGAGATAACTTTATGTACAACAGCTGTAATCTACCCACCTATAAAATCATGACTGGGAATGTAGCTTTGATATGCTATTAAATGCTAGTGTTCATGATACTGACTGTGAATTAATGACACTTGCACTTCCAAAACTGTAAAATACATAAAATGGTTCAAACTTTTATAATAGCTTTTTTTGTCATATATAAACTAATCTGAGTATCAATCACTGGATCAAAGTAAGCTCAGTCTTCACAGTTTTTCAGTGTTTTCCATTCTTTGATATGTAAGACGTCTCAGCGAGCAGAAGTCCCTAAAATAGCCTGGCTGTGAGCACAGAAGCCCCGCCCACCTGATTTTTAAGGAAGCCAATCAGAAGAAATTTTGCTTAAAAGCAGGGAGAGGCGCTAAAACAGTGCTTTTTCAGACAGTGGATAAACTGAGGAGTGTCACTACGGCAGTTGACTGTAATTAAAATCCTGCTGCTCAGACAGAGCAGACGAGCCACAGCACAATTAAGACGTCTGAGTTTAAAATCACATTAGTTTTGTATCTAAAGACTCGTGACAGTTTTTGTAATGCAATAGAGAATCCATTAAACACAGTTAAAAGTTAGACCTGCACAAAACGTCTGGCTTGTACATAGGGAACTGTATAGCACACAGACAATTCAAATGAGTTAACAGCAAATGTCATATGCTTCCCTGTACTGTCACCTGGCATTTTTAAAGGGTTGTTGATATTTTATTTATTATTTACTTATTTTTTAGACACACTAGCAGTGTGGCTCTAGCGATAGCAGTGGTATTTGGTCGGTCCCACACTTTGATCCAGACTGAAGTATCTCAACAATTATCGGACTGCTTCGCATCAAATTTTGAAATAAATGTTCCTGCCACCCAGAATACAAAATGCACTGACTTTGCCTCAAGCACCAGCAACAGGGGGTGGGCAATTTTCTGGTTTAGTGACATGTCTTAACAAATTTTTATAGCGATACTGTGCAGATGGTGCTATGATGGCCTTGTGAAGGTATATACCGCAAGATGGCATCATCCAAACTTTGAGTCCTGCTCAGCTGCCTGTCATACTGTATCTCCTCTTCTGAGGCTTTCTAGCATTAAGGCCTGAAATGTTGTCCTGATTTAAAAAAAAAAAAAAAAAAAAACTGCACTCGCTAAATGTCCTGTGGCTGCAGGGTCATAACTGCTGCTGAACGTTCCAGATATTTCATTAATAATTTATTAAGTAACACATAATCAAGTAAAAACAAGCCTACAGTTAATTTTTTAGGAAAAATGACACAGTTTAGTTAAACTATTCATTAATTTTCAAATATCTAATATTTATTTACTCATGAAGAATGTAAGCTCGTAAAATAAAACTATTTGTCTGTAAATGTTCTGTTTGTCTTTAAAAAACAGGATAAACATTATTAACATAATTAGGTCGTTCAGAAAAATGTTTCACACACCTCTCTCATTTCTTTGATTTTGGAGCCTCCTTTCCCTATGAGGGAGCCACACTGGCTGGCTGGCACAACAAGCCTTAAGGTGACAGGAGGCTTGCTAGTTGCTGGACTGTTGCTCATGGAATTGATTATGTCCTGGAAAACAACAACAAAAGTAGCAAGTATTTTATCTTGTAAGGGTAATGTTTTCTTGATGTGACATCGAGACATTCGTGATGTTAACTGTCTCAGTAATGAATGTCCAAATAAATTTCCAGACTTCAAAGGTGGTGCAAAATGACCTGCAAAAACACACTTGTTTTAAATTTTCCTTGAGTATTTTCATCTCCTCCGCTCGCTGAATGCACCCTCCTGCAAACACCCAGCCTATTGGCACGGCACATTTTACACAGATCACCGAGAACTCAGCAGTCAGTCTCCTCTTACAAGTTCCAGTCACAGTACTTACACAGCACTAGCAAGAGGAGACACATCAAAGACAACATCAGCAGAAAGATAGCTGAAAATTCACCTCATACTGTTCAGTGATACAGGTTCCCTTTGCAGGTGTACTGTATATATGTATGTATATGAGTCTGGCTTGGTTTTATCTAAATACAAACACTGAGATTGTGTTTGCAGACAGATCTTTATCTCAAAGCGAGAAACCCACGCTTGCAGGAAAACTGTGTGTACATAAAGAAAGCTGAATGTCTGGAACTACCACAGGAGCAAAAGGTGAATTGAAATACAAAATGAGTACATTTTGATTGTGTACAGACTGATCATACCTCTTCAAATTTGTAGGCAATCATAGCAAAAGCCTTGAAGATGGTGTCCGTTGGTCCGGTGATGGTAACAATCCTCTCTGGACAGTTGCCCTCAGAAATATTGATTCGCGCTCCACTCTGGAAGACCAGCAACTACTTTTCATTTTCAGTGGCGGTGATAAGAAACCTTAATTATTCAAACAGATCCTGAGCAAATTTGAATCATGCATTACAAAGTTAACTTCGCCTGGTATTTCATTGTGATCTTTAGTGACTTGCTGGGGGGGGGTGCAATGGGCGGGAGGGTAATAAATATTTTTGCTAATTTTTTCTATATTCAAACTCACCTCTTCTCGCATCTTTTTTACTGTTTCTCCTTTCTGAAAAAAAAGTACATTTGTACATCAAAGTGAATCAGAATCTTTCCATAATCATGAAAATGAGTATGAAAATACATACCTTTCCAATTATACTTCCAACCTCCTGTAACATGAAAACACAACAAGAAAAAGTGAAGAAAATAAACATATTTATTTGTTTAAATGTGTACTTTTTAATTGTTTGCTTCTCTTTTTACTGAACAGGGTGTAAAAACTGTGCCAAGACATGAAGACAGGCATGTTCAGGGTCAGACTTTCCATGCTTGTTGAATCACTCTTTATGGGTTTGGTGTGGCGCAGCTGGTAAAGGGCACAGAGGCAGCGCTGGCTGCAAGCGTCAACACTCCCCGACCTCTCCTCAGAAAGTGTGAGGGTTACGTCTACTGTGACGTTAAAGCTGCAGGTAGTTGCAGTTCACAGCGCCAGGTTCTACCCTATAAGAATCATTTATATTTATCAAGTGCTACATTAAATTACACTCCAAAACTAACTTTCTGACAATATACTCATAAACATAACACGTTTCAGTTGTAATGGTCAGTGCCAGCTCTAAACCAAATGAACCAATGAGCTGCTGTCTGTGCTTGTAGGGCCGTTGCATTGACTCATTGTCCCAGAAGTGCAGTAGATTACCCATCCAGCCCTGTTTCATTAACTATATTGTTTTTTCTTCTTAAAGTAAATCAAATTACAATTGCATTCATTCATGTGGTTGTAATGAAGTGGAACTTTTCCTACATTTAATACAAGTATAACCTGCAGGGGAAAAAGGTTTAAACCATATTTTCAGGCTAAGTCACCTGCTCATCATCAAAGCCTTTTTTAAATCATATTTGAGGGGTGATTCTTTATCTGTCTTCCTGTATTGTCCCACTAACAACTGAAATACATTTGATGTCTCTTCCAATTCTTTTAGATGTGTGTTTGGTCACGTTATCTCGTAATAACTGCCTGGAATTGCAAACATGGCTGAGGTGCAAGCTTCTTGAATGACTTATACTCATATAAACTTCTTCTCAGAGGGAGAAAGGAGAATGGCACCTGTGCCACTCCACTCCAGCTTCAGGGACACAGAGATGAGCCTACCAAAAACTCTTTTCTGGGCATCACAAAAGGGGAAAAAAGTCATTTGAAAGTGTAACAGGATGCTGGAGGGTTGCCTGCCCTCAATAGATAATGATGAAAATGCTCCAATACCCAATGTAACCCAATGGTTTCTCAATTTGAGGGCTTCACTGCTGTGGAGAAAGGACGTGGGTAATCCTGCCAAAATCCTCCCTTGTGGCTGCTGTGGTTATGTCCCTGCCAGGATGTGGGGTTATTCAAACAGTCACAGGGTCACTGGCTTTTAAAGCGATTACATGAGCAGTCATGCAGGCTGACCTGCACGGCCATTCACAGGCTGCTTGGCACACCAGGCAAGGAGAAGATGTGAGCTTCATTCTTTGTCCTGCAGAATCTACCAGCATTATCAGCTACGCATGTGTGCTGCGGGTTTTAGCTGCCTAGCTTGAAGCAAACTTGTAACTGAGCTGCTGTTATGTAACGTTCATACAGTTCTAGACAAGAAGAAATCTGCTTTTTTACAAACTCTACACTGACAAGAAAGTAATGGTCATTGCATACAGATATTATTTACAAAGTAAAGCACAAGAGGTGGGGGATGGAAAGCAAGAGCCATGATAATACAGCATTCTTTATAAAACCAGGTGAACACAAACTAATTCTGATGGCCACTTAAAGAGTAGAAAGGAGTGAGGATGGTACACATGTGTCTAAAAAAATAAGAACTGCTAAAAAGTTGGTGCCCATTAATACATTATACACCATGCCCTGGGAAATCTGAAAATACTAAGGGCGAACAAGAACACGCTGAGCTGAGTCAGCAGCAGAGAAACACACAGCAGGAGATTTTCAGTCTTAAAGGCCTGAAGTCTCCAAAGGCCTTTGAACCTCAGTGAAGCTTGCTTACATAACCCCACAGTAAAGAAAGGTAAAAGTAGAGCAAAGCTGGACTTTGGTGTGGGAAGGCAAAATACATCTGCTGCCATTAGCTTATTTTGTTGATCTTACATAATATGAGTTAATGCTGTGTACAGTAAGTGGAAACAGCATATGCTGCTGTTGTACTTTCATTCAAGCTGATCTAGACTGTTGTCAAAGCAAAGCTATTGTTGGCTCTAACGGTTTCCATAATGGGACAAATTGCAGATTTTATTGGCACTTCCTAAGCATCTTTCAAACTCAATGCCCACCAGTCATTTTTCAAGCACTTTGGGCCTTTATTAGACAAGTAGATGGATGGACGGAACTGAGGGAGGAAGGAGACTGGTAATTACAAACAACAAAGATGGCTATCTGGACTTGAATGTTGATGCTACTCAATACCTTCAACCCCTAGGCCTCCAGGATGCTAATATACAATAGTTCTCTACTTTTTAACATTTAAAGTACTTTTTTTATTTACCATTTAATGGCTTTCGGTAGTTCACGTTAGCAGGATTCTTTTTAGCCCCTGTTGGTTAGTAGGCGGAGTTTAGTAGGAGTTAGTAGGAGCTTTTTAAACCCACGTCTACATGTTAGCAGTATCAATAGTATATGGAACCGCTTGTCTGTGGGCTACAATTGTTTATTTTTGTACTGTTGTTGGTACTTTATGGAGAATATTAGTCACAAAGAACTAATAGTAAATGTCAAGGCACTGGGTCTGGTGATCCAGTGTTTGTGTTTTTTGGGTTAAGTTATACTCTTTGAATGATGGTTTTCTGTTTTGTATTATATTTACAGTTCCTGGTTTCTAGGTTTCTGTTCTGTTTCTGTTCTCTGTGTGTTATATGCTTAGTCTTAGTTTTCTGTCTTTATGTCTTTCCTGTGTCCCACGTCTTGTTACTTTTGTCTCTGTGCTTCATGTTCCCGCTGTTCCAGAGTCTGTCATGTTTCTATGTCTCAGTGTCAAGTCTGTATCTCTGTGTCATGCTTCCTGTTTTACTTTGACAGTCTGTGTCCTTTGCCAATGTACTCTGCTTTGCTTCATTCGTCTCGTTATGTCTCATTTGTCCCAGATGTGTTCCCATCCGTTCCCCATCCTCTCGTTGTCTTGACTGTGCATTTAAGCCCTGTGTTCCATTTGTGCTTTGTTATGTTGTGCCCTCACAGTGTTGTGTTTCTGCCTTTGTGTTCCTGCAGAAGCTCTAGTTCTCAGTCCGTGGTTTGTTTCTTATTTTCTAGAGTCCAGTTTAGTTTTCTTATTTGAGGATTTGGTTTGTTTGTTGTGAAATTTATTTTTGTGGAAAGTTTTCTCATTCCATGTACAAGTCCTGCGTTTGGGTCCTACATCCTACCTGCCGCCTGCCACAGCACACACCTTGACAGTAAAGTGGAACTAAGTGTGGTAAACAATTAAAAATATTTTGTAATTTCTCTCTTTTTCATCACCTATCCTGAATATTGTGACATATAGATGTTTTGGTATACGTCTACAGATGTCTCCACAAACCAACTTACTTAATTTAATTATTTAAAATTTAAGGCACCACTATGATGCAAGTCCTATGAATTACAGCAGGTTGTGACATATAATTAAATTTTTTAATTTACAGATGTCCTGCTACTAGGACAGTCAAATCTAAGGTCAGAGTTGAGGTTAACAGGACAAATAGAGAAACGATTTGAAAGTTGATTTCATTGCACAATTTGTACAATTCCAATTTATCTGAATACAACTTCATTAAAATCAGATGAAAGGTTTAGGAAGAGAGGCCATGTAAAAACTGGCACCTGATTCATCACTGAAAGGATCTTGAAATGAAGAAATAAATGCCTCTGCATGTCTCTCACTTTTCAGGCTTCCTAACAGTCAATATAGCACTCAATCACTGTGCTCACTTACTTTTCCATGCATGAGGAGGCGGATGGTCAGGGTGACATTGAGGCCACCCTCTGACTGGACTTTTGTTGGCTCCATGCTGGGGGAGGAAAAACTGGTGGTCCAGCAGTAGGATGTCCTCAGAAGGAGAAGGAGTGCGGTGGTATTCCAGCCAGCCAGTCACCTACAAAACACAACATCACACATAAGCAAACACAGTCGGTGTGTTCACAACCAGCAGATGATATCAACGTCCAGTTGCATTAAATTATTATAAGAAGGCAGTTTGGTGCTTCTGCAGATGCGGTAACGGAATCATATTTCTGCTGTATGACACATAAAATAGTTTCTAAAGCCATTAATCTACAGACTGCTTTGACACAACATAAAGCTTTCAGCGATTTTAACTAATGTTCAGTGGTTCATTAGTTTGTGACACTGCACACTCCTCATATCTTCAGCACCAAATAACACACTTGTTTTCTGGGGTATACTAACCACAAATGCCTAAATTAAAAATAAGTGATGACTTTAGGCTAAAAATCCAAAGTGCAGAGCCCATTCGACTACAGCGTGGCTAAGCAACACATTTATGAGCTGCCTGCTCAATATTTGTTTCATGAATGACACGTAATTGTGTTGAGAAGATCGAGAGATAACCGAATGTAATCACAATCTGCTCCCCCCTATGTATTTTTTTCCCCCGTCTATTTGCTCTGTTAAAAATTCAAACGCAAAAACAAAGCAATCACTTGTTTTGTTTTTAATTGCAGGCCAGATCAGAAGAGAGAGAGAAAATTCTTCTGAGCTCTTATTCACGAACTATCTAGGAATATACTGGAAATACCAGACTGACCAATACAGGAATAAAATAATTTGCAACATTTGTGACGGAGGACCGTGCCATTGAGATGAAACTAGGTGAATAAATGAATACATGGACTACAGGAATGCCTTATCTGTATATATGTAATGTTGCCTTGAAGGTGCAGCACGATGACTTGCAGAATCCTCCGAGTCTTCACTGCTAAAAAGCTTTTTCCCCTGACTCAGACATTAAAGTCTTCCTCCTGTGCCCTTATTACAGTTAGTCAAATTACTTTGCTCTCCTCTGCCTTTGCTGTTAAGGCAAAGGCAAACAGACCAGTCTGTATGCTTGGATGGCTGTGCCAAAAAGTCATAGCTGCTTTTTGTGTTTTAAAAAGTTATAAGAAATGACTTGGTGTTCTGGTTAAGTCTATGTAAAGTCTATAACAAAGAAATCTTTAATGAGTAAAGGAAAAGTTTCTGTACTGTTGCCAAGTTTAGAATGACCTTTGTTACACGAATGTCAATATATCATGTGTGATGTGATGCAGAGCCTGAATCCAGTCTGTTTCACATTTCCTACTGTCCCGTGGTTAGTGTGGTGCTCTGTAACCCTTTGGCTATTGTCATTTCACTCAGACAATACCATCCAAATGTCAATATTAAGTTTTCTGTAGATACAGTTTGCAATCTGATGTAATCACCCATTCTGTTGAGTTACTGCTGTTATCATTACCTGCAAGTTTGAGGTTTAAATTTTTATCAAGCAGCCCCAGGGGATTCTTCTCCAATCTCTATTTTCTGCGTTTTTGTGGAGACTAATTTGGCTACAGCTTCTAATTTCCAGCCAGACACAACCTTAGGCTACTGTTTACTTTTTGTGCTCATATAAGAAAATGGAACAATATTATCCTATGAAAACAAAGACGAAGAGGAGATATATAAAAATTAGCACAGCAGCCCTCCCCACCCATTTTGGTTAGTGAGGTTGGTTTGAGTATTGTGAGAAAAGGAATATAAATCATGCTAACTGCACTGAAGTGAGGGCAAAACCCACAGATACTGATATCCACACTGGATATATGTAAGTTACATTTTAGAGGTCAACTTAAATATACCTGCAGGGGACAACTTTAAATGCAGATTCCTGTCTATCACTCTGCATCACCAGGAAGGCATAAGATTGGTTCTAAATTCATTCTGCAGCATGAAAGTAACCCCACACATACAGTCAGCCACAAAGAGCGGTTTGTCTGGTCACCAGGAAGCCCTGATGTCAGTGCAATGAACAGGCCCACAGCTGCGGGTCAGACAAGCCACCTGGGATTAAATTGAGCTTTATGTGGTTCAAAGGTAAAAGTTTAGTTTATTACAAGAAGAAGCAGTAAGACTGTGGACCTTGAAGTGATCACATCCACGAACCAAAAATATGTCTAGCTTAGAACCCACTGAAACAATCAGATGTGTTGTGTTTCCCACGAGAAACACTCATCCCTAAACTTTACTGCTTTTAAACAAAGGGCTGAGGGATGATTGGTAGGCACAGACATGAGACAGGAATATAATTTGATTGATATAAACATGGTCCAGAGTTACCTCATCATTTTAGACCTCATATGTAAGCAAAAACATTTTAAATGGAATTTAATTATTTAACAGGGATCCAATAAAGACAAGTCCCTAGCAGTCCAAAAACATGCTCATTAGAGTGTGTTAGCCCGATGACTGACTGGTGATGTGGGTGCACCCTGCCTTTCCTTGCACAGTGGCAGCTGGGATAAGCTTCAGGCCACCCCAGGTCAGATCATCAGTTAAGAATGGATATTTCATTATATCCAAAAAATAGCACTGATGACCATCTGGTACACTGAAAACAAAGTTCATATTTTAATAAACAAAAATACTCTTTATGGTTAATCAATTAAAATATTATTTTAATGCAAAATTTGTTTTTATGCAACACACTTACACCAGTCAGTTATTTTTGTTTTTTGTTATACATCTTTGGAAATAAAGATTGCTTTGTTGTAGCCTACCAATATTTGTGCCTACTTGTGCTACAGAAAAGTGGGATTTATCATTCATTTTTGCATAACTATGGAATGCAGGTGTAAGTGTGGCACATCTATAGATACTCCTGTGATATGCAATGAATTAAACTGCTGTGGCTAAAGGTGGTCTAATTTCAGATTAATATATATTCAGAAAAAAACAGGAGTTCAGCACAGCACAAGATTAATGAGATGTAATAGAAGTGGAGGCACAAGAACCTGGGGGGGGAGGTGGCAGGTTCTGCAAGACAGGTGGAAGAAACTACCTGCCAAGCACCTTGGGAACCTCTGAGCACCAATTAACAAGTAATAATTTGCACTTTTAGAAAGGGAAAGGATAACTTCACCAAATTTAGAGATTATATATCAGATTCATAAGAAAAAAGTTGAAATAATGGGGTCTTTCTCTTAATGTTTATTAGCCAGCATGGCCCTCTGGGAAAAGAGTTGCCCACAGGTGTGCTGAGGTTGTGCTGGAGCTGTAGCAGCTTTGCAAAACCAAGGAAGGTGTTCAAAAAGGTTTGCATGGAGACAGCCAGATTGTAAGATTCAGTCCTTTAATAATAAACTTCTAAATGTACGTGAAGCCATTGTGAAGCTGTAGTAAACCCCGACAAAGTGAACTAAAGGCAACAACTTCAACGTCACACTGACTCACACTACTATCAAGTGTGCTGCTAATGCTGTCAGCTAGCTAACCACGCTAACGGCACAGAGTGAAGGCCGAGACGAGCCCAGACAGATCCAACAGGAAAATGAACTAATATGGGCTTCAAGTAATTCTCCCGGACAAAGAGAATGACCTTCATCTGAATGCCGTGAGTAAAACAATCCACCTCTGCTGTTTTCAGTTTGGTAATTACATTCTCCGTGTTATATACAACCTCGTGTGTGTTGACTGACTGTTTGCCGCTAAAGTTTTACTTGTAAACACAGCAAAGCACTTTTTAAATTGTGTTTTCTCTTATAGTTTACAATCATTCCTCTATAAAAGCAAACCCCCCTACCTGCCTTTATGTATACATTGTACATTTCTTGTCTTTGTGCGGGTTATTTCTTTCATTTTAAAGGTGTAAATGTCTTTCTTGCATAGGTAGAAAGGACTTTATATATTTACAAACATGGTTTGGTTTTGAGATGTTGTATAATGTATTATACAACCACAAATGTCTACAAAGTTATTTTACTAGGTATTTTGTATTCTTGTACAGCACTTTGGTCAACGTACTGTTGTAATTAAATGTGCTATATAAATAAATAAACTAGAACTATAAACTATAGATATATAGCGTTTTCGGGTTTTTTTGGTTGACAAATGTAAGTCCGTTTGTTGGCACTTCCTTGTAAACATAACTTTTAAGTGTTTCAGTAGTTGTAGTTTTAGTTGTGTGTTAAATTTTATTCTGAGTTTATCAGATATTTTTGATCACATTCAAGGTGTTTGTGGTACCCTTCCTCTCCTTGCATGGGAGATGTTATGATTTGCTTTGGGTTCTTTAAAACCTCCAGTCACACATCTTAAAATAAAAATCAAAGTAGATGAGATCACTTCTTGTACAGGACAGGTAACAGATGTTTCAGTTAAAATGTTCTGGTAAGTTCATAATTTTACAGCATTTTGAAACTAGAATTAGTTTATTATGAATATTTCACAAAGTTGTGAAATAAGTGGTAAGAGCCAGGCCCAGCCATTGCACTGGCATGGTTAGTTTTTCTGTCCTACAGCCTTGCCTCTTGTCCTAACAGGGACCTTGTCTGAGACAGGTTCCCCTGCATTTCCCCCCTGGGTTGTTACTGCTTGGTAGTGAGATGCCTCATCTATCCTAAGTGACGTCACAGAGTATTAGTCATTACTATTATACCTCTTTCAAGGCTTCTTGAGGCCCACCTAATGTAAAATGCAGGTGCAGTTTTTGATGCGTTATAAATGGGCAGTTATGTGAACACCTGCTCAGAACCTTGTAGGCTTGTCTGTTAGTTTTCCTGCAATACAGTCCCATTGCAGGATTTTGGGTTACCCTGCTTGCGTGCAGTCAGAGGAACCTTCAGCAAACATGTGTTTATCAGTAGGGTGTCCAGGTCTGTCTCCTCATACTGCATTTCTTGCTTTGCCCTTTCCTGACTCAAGTAACTACTAATGTGGGTCTTGCCTGGGGTTTCACAGCCAGAGAGCTGCACAAAGGGCTACCTGCTAGTAGCATGTGCCTCTATATGCATGTGGCTGGTACAGTAATTTGAAATGTGGTATTTCTCATTAAAAACGACTTAATGTTTTTGGATTTTCTTTTTAAAAACAGAAGTTGCAAATTCTTTTAAAGCTCTGTTT